ACATTATACTACTACATAAAATAGCAAAATGTTTTCAAGCAGCAAATTATTTTTCCGCTCTGAGACTCGATCTCAGAATCAACGGGCCAGCACTCATACCACTTCGCCACAGAAGAACCATATTCTATTTAAGATTACGATAGCTACAAATGGGTTTCAATTAAGTTTCTGGAATTCTCTATTAATTTCTGATGCAACAGACAGTTGTGAGAAATAATGTTCCCCGACCAAAACTCGAACCAACTTCCCCTCCGAAGAACTGAGTCCGTAAATCACTAACTTGCCACCTCGGCCACCAGGGAAGTACATGGGTTTTGCACTTATGTCATACTAATAAGCGTATGGTGGTTCCAGTTCTAGCATTAGGAAGCCGAAAATCGAGAAATGTGAAAAAATGTCCTTTGGGCAACCAAAGAAGGTATCTGGGAAAATAATGAGGCCTAACTAAAACCCTAGTTCAGACTACAGAGTTGAGAAAACTAAATAATGCGAGAAAGTCTGTGCCATTCTATAGCATCACTAGTTTTATTTATTTTTTTATTTCTGTATTTATCATACGCTGTTAAATAAGAGGAGAAGCTTCAATGAAAATATTTCGTGCGGTTTTTTAGAAAATATTTTTAGAAATAGCATAACTTTCAGACACTAAGCAAAATCAGCTCAAAAATAGACTTGTCCTTCTTTAAAGAGCTGATTTTTTACAACAGACTTTGTTTAAAGCAAAGATCGCTACCTCCAATTTTCCCTCCTACGAAAATGACATCTCAACCATTCTCTTAAACTTCCTTCGCACTATTCAACAACAAAATTTAATCAAAAAATTTGGAGCCATTTTTGAGAAAATTTTGAAAACGTTTTGGAGGCTTCATGTTTAGTACCCTTGAAAACAATTTTTTTACATTTCGGCTAATAAGTATTTTTTTACCTTTATTACGTCATTTTATCTGCATTTTTTGCTGATTTAATCAATTTTAACATAATTTTAATGGTTCTACCTTCAAACAATATTTACAAGGTGCAACAAATGTACACCATAGAATTCCTGAGTAGCCTATTAAATTTCTTCGCTCATATATTGTAATGTCAGCCGTTGTGAGTACTGTGTCGTTTATCGGCGCCATTGTCAGTTGGTCTGATTTCGCGATAAAGACAGAGGTTTTCTTTTAAAGAAGAGTCCAAACCCAAAGTTCGCAAGCTACTTTCATTTGAACAAAAAGATGACGACTCTATTGTATCAATAACATAACCAACAGCTTGAGTTGCTTGTCTGAAGTGGTTTGTTTAATTTGTTTCCGTCATTTTTCTTTATTTTTAGGGCATTTTAAAAGTATTTTAAGAGCATTTTATTGATCATTTTTAGCAATGTTTTAGGTGATCAAAATCCCCTCTGTACTGATGAGAGACAAATTATTCAAACTTACCATCCCTCAGAATACCTGAAAGTTGTTGCAGATGTTAATTCGGATTTGTAGAAGATATGTATTTGTTTTGATAGTGGTCTGTTGTTGAACCTGGTCAAACCCGCATATTTATTGATAGATCCGACTGGCAAATTGTCAGATACAGACTTTTAGTATTTCAGATTGACTGCTGAAAGTCGATCTCTCGTGTGAATTACTGCAGGGACTTGGGGCTTTGGCTGGACAGTTGCTGGACGTTGGATCATGTAATGGTAACGTGTAAAGATGCGCACTTTTGACTGAGATCATTGTATCAATATCGCAAATTACTTCCTACTAATATAAAGCTGAAACTATGTGTATCACTTGTTTGTTCTCTTCTTACTTTCTCGTACTTACTTTGTGAGAAGAGAATGTTATGTAATCGTGCCCCGGAAAACGGCGAATTTTAGGCTTTTTCTCCAACAGGTGGTGTAGTCAGAACCCATGTCTTGTAAATCCTTGATACCGAAAAATCGATTTGCAAATTGTAGGGTTCTCTTAGTTCGCTGCTGTTTCAGAACAATATCCAATATCAAAAGTGTTGGCATATTCTATAAGCAAATATGGCCGGAAGTAGAGAGCTGCTTATTTTTAAATCTAATAATACATTATAACTTTGTACTGAACCCGTTAAGAGAAACTAAATTTAAAGTATTGATCCAATTCTTCAGAACTTGATATTATTAAATCATCTAATATTGTCCGGTAGTCCGTTTCATGGGCAGCAACTGCACTTGTTGAATAGGAGTTGGGCCAAAAGTGAATGTGAAATTCCAGGTTTTCTTTGTATTACGAACTGGTTGGGACATAACGTGTTGGGAACTCGCACTGCAGTACGTAGTGGCGTGCAATGATGGTTCCTATTGTGAAGAATCTATAGGGTAGGTAATACTTTCCAGTTCGTCAAAAATTAAGATCTTTAATTACATTTGTGTGTTTACATATGCTTTATTGATCTCAGTAGAAATAACACATAAAATACTTTATTCAAATTTTAAGTTCATATTCCTTGCAGTGCATCAGACAAATTAAAACATAAATTGGCTGGCCTTGAACTAAAGTGGATTATGGTACGAATCACAGTGTGCATTTTAGACCACTTAAGAAATGACTAACATTAAAACCATCTGCCAATAGTAAAGTGGTACTCTTAATATGCGGCATCTAAAACGACAAATGACGTATAGACCACTTTAGACTGTATAGATGCACACCTGTTCAGATCAAATTCATCATAACCTGCATTTTAGCCAAAATTGTTCATAGATCACTTTATTTTCAGACCAGTCAATTACATTCTTATTCTAAACGGGTATGGCTATTTTCGCATTTTGAACTCCGGCTTATTCTGAGAATAAGAAAGTTTATTTTCCACTAAGATTAAAATACTTTACAACAAAGCAATCTCTTGCATTTTGCACAATGAATTGCGAAGAAGATGCTTCTTCAGATTTCTTATGCAAGTAAAAATTTTGTCTCTGAGACAAATCTTCATGAAAAATGTATGTATTGTGAACTCAAAGAGTGAGAAAACAATAATCAGCCTTAACTTAAATGACGTGAATAACATGATAAAGTACAGTAATACATCAAAGGGCAACATTTGGGTACTCTAGCGAAAACGTCGTTTTGTGCTTCTTGACAAAACTGTGCAAACTGAAGTAATGATGTGAATTTCTTTAGAAGCAGCTACTTCAGGGTGGGATTGATGAAGATGAAGATATTAAATAACACAAAATGGAGATGAAGTGGAAACTCAATTCTTTCAGCTTCCTGAAACAAAGAAAATAACGTTGTAGAATTTTAATATCATAATGTGTTCCAGTAACCCTTTATTAAATACATTTAAATTCATCAGTATTCTCTTTGAAATTATTATTTTGGATGATGTATAATCACAAGTGCGAATGAGTGTGATACTAAGATACTAAGATAGAGTTGCCAATTTACATACAACTATTGTGCGGTGTCAGACGGAACAGACAATGTAACACTGTTCGAGGAAATGAGAGAAATATTACTTTCCCGTGCAAGCATTTCCTTGAGCTCTTACTGTGAGGGCTAGAGTAAATCAAGGTAAATATGAATGCTACGTAATCAGTTACCTGGAAATGCTAAAATCGTAGTGTGGCTGCAGACAGTGTTGCTAACGCTAAATTCCCATAATATCACATAGTCTTATTTTGCACTTGTTCGATTAGGGGTATCCAACTTGATGAAGTATCATAGGAGCTTAGCGTTAGCAGCACTCACTGCTTATATATCGTGACGATTGTGACACGTCACTTGACATACCCGAAAATTAGAGTTTCCGCAGCATGAATCTCCTTAGTATACATCACTTTTGAGCGTCTGCGCATGCGCAACTCGGAACTGTGCATGCGCGCAAACTGAAAAGTGGTTAGCGCTAAGGTTCTTTGCGCTACGTAAAATGTCTCTATTGCGGTGGAATATCGTTTTCTAACATATCAGTAACGAAAATAATGGCGTTCGCGCATGCGCGCAGCCTGAGATTTGGGAGCCTGACGTATATGATTTCTTTCTTCACGCTCTACCCTAAACTAAGGAGTTTTTGCAGAGCATAGCGTAAAACTTTATGAGGCAACCATAAAACATTTTTAGTGTGAAGTATAGAAAGATCCCCAAAAGTCCTAAATTGAAGTAGTTCTAAACTGTGGCGGCTGATTTTGCTGCTAATGCCAAATTTCTAAAACACCACATCCTCTTGATTCGCATTTTGTCTACTAGGCTGTGCCCAACATGATGTTGCGTCGTTGGTAGAGGTTAGACCACACGATGCCTATATTGTTGGGAAGAAATTCCATATATCGGGATCAGGTAACCGGTTTGTTGTGCAATGCAATTCAGATGATCCTCCGAATGACTAACGTAACGGAGTTCGCACATGAGCAGAGGTTCAAACGTGGGTTCATAGCGTATACGGTATATTTCAAAACCTCTCTCTACTCCTTTCTAAAGCTCGTTTTATCCGATCATTTTTTTCATCATTTTTCTATACAAAAAATTGGCGGAAAAGAGACGTTCGTTTTTCCGCGGTAGTTTCGGTATCGAAACTGAATAAACGATTTCCAGCGTTTTACACGGTCATTTTGTTGTCTGCACGTAATCGGGATAAAAATAGTTTTGGACGCCGTAAAGAGGCGCAGAAGATCAAACTGTCAAACATCGCATCTATGGTAAGGAATTAAGTTAGGTTATTTTAGTACTGAGCGCGGAACGCGACGAAATTAGAACACAGTACATGTTTTATTACACACCATACTAAACACTTCTCATTACAATCCAACACATTAGAACGCTCCAGAACTGCACAAAATGAACCAATCGCGCCGCAAGCCTAGCAAACGAGAAAATGTTCCGCAAAATGACGCCAGGTGCGCGTCAGTCAAATGGATGAAATCTCTGCCTAAAAATGAAGTAGGCGAAATTTTTCTGTTCAAATTACAGCCCTTCTGGTCCGTCACTTTTCTGTACCGACGAAAACTGTCAGTGTAAGACGAGCTTAAGAGTTGGGGCGGGGCGGGGCGGGGTCTCACCTTAGCGGGCGGGCGCGGCGCAGGCGTCGAGGCACTGCTGGCGGGAGGCGAAGTTGTTGGCGTTGCCGTCGCAGCCGCCGAAGCGGAAGGGCACGCAGTCCTTGGCGGCCGGGTCGAAGCGCCAGCGCGTCAGCAGCGCGCGGCAGTGGCCCCGCGCCGCGGGCTGCGAGCACACGCGCTGCCGGGTCTCTGCGCACACCAGCACCAGGCATCGTAACACTCGCGAAAATGCCACCACTTCACGAAAATAACAATAACAATAATGTTGTTTATTGAATTTAAGGCCATACAAGGCAAATCATTTATGCCACCAGAATGTTACATTTTCTATTTATGTTTCGTGGGTGCTTAACACTCCACCTCTTCGGGTACTGAAACGAACATCAATAGTGTACAATGTCATGATCCAACACTGTAACTTAAAGGTCAGAGACACCGAATTACATAATATTAATTATTATGATATAATTGAAATAATTTATTATTATTGATGATGATAATAATAATAATAATAATAATAATAATTTTAATTCCTGCCAAGACCGTGGAAAGACACGATAGGGTGTGTAGTTACATCCGCTGGCAGATCTGTAACGCTCTCCAAGTTCCAAACACAAGTTCCAAGTGCTACGAACACTCATCAAATCACCAAAACCAATGACATCTTTTAGGCTATGTAAAATATTTTCGTCACGAAGGTTGAAAATATACAATTTAATTGGAAAGCTATTAGACTGCCTTTTTGGTATATTTTAATTCTTGGAAGGTAAGGTCCATTAATTTTCGAGGAATGCATTAACAAAATGACAAAGTTTTATTACAAAATTGTCAGCCTCAAACATTAATGGACCTGATCTTCCAAGAATTAAAATATGTAAAATAGTGCACGAACAACAAATTCTAATTGATCGCACGATAGCGACAAACAAACCGGATATTGTAATCCGGGATTTGGAGGGGTGAAAAACCTATCTCTTTGTAGATATTGCTATGCCTTGCGATCAAAACATTGCACCTAAGGACTCAGAAGCACGTCTCAAAACCAAGAGCTTGAAAATCGAGATCAGCCGAATGTTGGACATAAAAGCACAGGTCGTCCGGGTTGTTCTCGGAGCCCTGGGTTTTGTTTCGCAAAATTCGTTTGAGAACTTGACTTAACTCCCAGGTCATTCAAAAGAGTGGGAAGTGCAAGACATTGCTATATAGGGAAAATCCCACAATTTGTTTTATGTATTGTAGAGGCAACGACTGTTCCTAGATGTGCTCCTTATGCAACTGGTTAGAAACGGGAGTAGATTTTATATTCAACTGATTCATAACATCTTTAATCGTGAATTAGAGGAACAACAACAACAACAACAAAAACAATAATAATAATAATAATAATAATAATAATAATAATAATAATAATAATAATAATAATAATTGAAACAAAATATATTTTATATAAATTCGTTTCAGCTCTAAGGCCTTGAAAAAGATTAGGCCAATGAAATACAGAAAATAATTAAACGGCATGCTACGCAGCTCGTATTGGCTGGGAGCTACTAGTTTTGTTAGAATTACTCTGATAAAATCGGTCAAAATGTGGACCAAAGACTGGTTCAATTCGATTAAATAAAACCAAAAGGATAATTACATAGTTATCATTCAGCTAATGTATAGTTATAGGATAATTTGTCTGTGACTAGCACTAGCTATTTCTGAAATATACTCGTGGATGTTTCGTTGCTGGAATACTTACCACAACTATGTTTGGAAATTCTAGACCTCGTGGTAAGGATACAGAAATTTGTCTCACTGTTGTGCATTTCTGCTTAAAAGTATAATTTTTGACATGGTCAGTTGGAATATCCATCACATTTTTTATGCAACTTAGAAAGAAATATAATTTATATTAACTATAAGAAGACAGGATATAGCCCGGAAAAGAAACATATGAAGACAGCAATGGTATAGAGGACATACTGCATGGAAGAACACCGGATGATAATTAAATATATACATACATAAACTATTTTGATCTTCATTAAGTAAAATAGTTATCTAAAGCAGATAAAGTATCAGTGTCACTCGCAGTTCAAACAGATTTACAGGTGGACCGTCTAAATTGGCTACAACAAGTATCTTCAAAACAGGTTGCAGAGCGGTGTCGTAGCTGATTCAGATATAATTCGTTTTGTTATTTGTAATTTTGGTGACATTGATAGAACTCTAGTGTTGTAAATGGAAGTAAATATTTTATCACCGGCATTGTCAAATTCTTAAAGGGAGGAATACAATGATATACATTTTCTTAATAGTGTTTGGAGAGACACATTACTCAAATGCATGATTTTCTTAGCACGCCCATGGACTCGGAAGAACGTCCGTATTTTTTTCCCGTTTTTGGTGGAAAGTGCGTCTGACCTTGCTTTTACCCACAAATTTCTTTTTTCTACCTCTCCATGTGCGACCTCGCTTTCACAGGTCAACAGTACACATGGTTGGGCGCACGTTAAATGATACCGCAGTGGAGCCATCATTTTAATTACATTTTCTAACAAAACTAATATTACTTAAATTAGTTAAATTAAGTAGTTATATTGTAGTATTATTTGTAGAGAATGTTCATTTTGCTGTGGGACTGGAAGTGAAAAATCGCATAACCAGTCCCTTTATAATTTGTTAGACAGCATATATTTTTTATTTCTTTTTTTTTGCTGGAAAATATGTCTAACGTTACAATATAATTCATATCTTACGTCTAAGTTTCGTGTTTGAAATTTGAAAATTGTAAAACTTAGTTGTAAGGTTTGAATTGTATTGTATAAAATAAAAAAATATATGCTGTCTAATTTTTTTTAAAGGAACTGGTTATTTAGAAAAGTAAAAATTAAGAAAAGATAGTATAAATTACAAAAATATTTTTATACAGTTTCTTTCCAAATATTAACAAAACGTATCTTTGTTTTCCTTTCTTTGAGACATTCAGCATACTGGTGTAAAAATATACACTTCCATTTAAAAACTCAGAGTTGTCTCAATATCTCTAAGAGTTCAAACAATAATAAGAAATATGTTCTTTTCACTATCATCTACAGCAATTTGGATCAAACAGCATCCCGAACCTCAGACCGTTTCTAAGATAAACCCTTTGGCCAACGTAGGTGGATCATCGTGATTTCATTTTCCATTTTCAATCCATTTTTAGAACACTCACTTTCTTTACCAAAGCGAAGCGCTTACTGAATATTCTCCTATTTAATTTTAGTGACATCTGATGTTCCATCAGCTGGTTTTCCAATCGGTTTTCCAATCTCCATACCAAAAATTACGTCGTAACCCTATTTCAGATTGGATAATCGCGTCCAGCTGATCGAACGTACGAAGTCACTACAATTAAATCTGAGTGTTGCTCCATCGGATAATATGATTTTCGGTCTTCAATACATGTCTCCACCTGATCTTGCACCTGCCTGTGTAAAACAAGATGACAACTATGAAAGGAATTAACGAATTGAGCATGTTGGTGAAGTACTTTTACATACTATAGAAGCGCGAAAGGTGGTGGATGGAGACTCATATCAGCGCGACGGGTCTTCGGAATAGGATTTTTACGAACAGTCGCGTGAAGTAATTCTCCTTCCTTCACGAAGAGGAGATTACGCTCTCCACGCGACTTGTGTTGACTGGGTTATACCTCAAGCCACTGCCGTTCGTTATCTACCGCCTGCACAACTAGTACCGCTCGCTCCCGACGAAGATAGGAGGGGCAGGAAGTGGTTTTTTAGCACGAGGAAACACCCCTTGGTGTTGATAAAACATTTAGTAACAGTGGACGGAGTCGGGTAACTCACAGGATATGTCACCGGATTAGAGCCGCGGTTTGAAACCCTTTAGCCACCCTTAGACCAAACCATGGGTGGGTATTGGCCCACGGGATAGCCGCATCCCTTGAAAATATGCAAAACTAAAGTTTTCGTCGAAATAACATAATATGTGTGTGTATATTTTATAAGCGTACAAATTGAATTGTTATTGAAATTTTAATATTTTAATAGTTGACACAACTTAAATTCAAATCATTCCAAAAAGTAGAACTAATAGGATGGTCAATAAAACATTGTGTCGACGAATTTTCGAATTAAGTATCTATTAATTATAATGAATGAATTCAGTTTTTCCAAAAATGCTTTTTTATGTGTTTAAAAGTATCCTCTCATAAATTATTTTCTAAAGCTCCCTTGTATGGGTGGCGCAGGCTCGTTATTCTTAAATAATTTTGTAAAAAAGCTTTCACAATTTTTTAAATTTCGGAGGTTTTGCTCATAGTCTTGCATTGGGCTTCGCTATTTTCATTTTTTAAATTTAATTCGACTAAAAACTACTATTTTTTTAAAACCTTCGAAAGTGTCTGAGGAGTTTCATGTTAAGTACCCTCAAAAATTAAAAGAACCGTTTGTCACCAAGTTTTGAGTTCGGCAAGATCTATCGGGAAAAATCCATTTTGGTGAAAATCCTATGCATAGTTTAGGCGTTATTCACAGATTGACGGACGGACGAACCAACGAAAAAACGAAAGAGTTTTATTCAAAAAGAAACAACACTTTTTCCGTATCAGGAACCCCCAAACCGCTGTCGAAAACTTGACATCGATGTTTTGCAGCAACAGAACTTTCTTTATACTACTTATATGACATGGTAAATAGGAATTCAATATGAACTTTTTTATTATTATTCGATAAGTTCAGGAGCCGGTGGCTGCTTTACTCTAATATACGTATTTACAATATTTTCGGGACGTAAGTGCCATTTACTTATGAAATGTGTACAGTACATAGACCTACACACAAGAAACAAAATGACTTAATAGGAACTAATTCCGGATTCGTCACGATGGATGGGTAGTTTCTGATGCAAACACTGCAACATTAATATGCATTGGTCACACAGAGGTGCTTCTATCTTCGACTACGAGGAAGCGCTGTGAGCAGTGAGAGTGGTCTAGACAAGCCCCTCGCTATATCCGTTAACGATAGCAAAATGGGCGTGACGTTTGGAAAGTGCGAAGACAGATTTCTATATTTGCTCTTGACGATAAGTGTCACGCGTGTGCTTAGAACTTGGTTCGAAGCGTTGGCATTTTCATTATCGGCACTTCGAAAGAATTACTACCTGTCCAAATACGACAAGCACCTACTTACGGCGAAGCAAGACACGACGATTGGTCGTCAGTCAGTGGGCATTGATTCTAC